CAGAAAATTCGCGGCAAAGTCACAAAATTGAAAACGAAACTCCTCCCGTCTTCCATCCCCGAATTTCTCCCTCACTCTCCACTTCATTTAACCGCCGATTCATCTCGAGGAGAGCGTCATCGTCGGTGCTGTCCGCGCGTCGTCGCAAGGGGTAAAGAAGAACGACACGCAAGCCTGATTCGCCTCGTGAGAGGCGAGCAGCCGAGTCAACGAGGAGAAAATGGAAAAGAAAGGGAAAGAAAAAAAATGCACGAGCTGCACGAGCCGCTGGCTACCTAGAAGTCCGCTCGGGTAATTGAGTATTCCACCTCGAAAGAGTCATGTCGATCGACCGATACCCACGTCTGCCGGAAGTCGGCTGGGGATACTTTGCCCGGAAAGCTCGGCACGATAAATCGCTCGATTCTCTCGAGCTAGCTGCTCGCGGCTCGCCGCGTTCCTCGATCAAATTCGAACTTTTCTTTTTTCCTCTCTCTCTTTATTCTCCATTTTTCTTCTCCTTTCGTCGTGGGTTTTCAGTTACGCCGCGTGGGTGTGATTAATTTCGTCGTATAGATTGACTATAATGTCACGCTGTTGCTTTTCGTTGATATTTCTTGGGGCTGGGAAGCAGGTATCTGTGTGTGGTTTCAGAGAAATGTTGCTGGAAGAGCTGAGAATTTTTGGTGGAAGTTTGTAGAGTTGAAATTGTTTGTAATTTGGATTTTTGCTGGATTTTTGGAATGGTTTCTTTGCGAATTGTGGTAGATGCGGGATCTGAGAGATAATAGAAATTTTTATTTGGAGAATGAGGAGGTTTTCATCAAAATTTATTAATATTACATTCTTCATTTTTTTTTTTGTAGATAGGGAGAGATTTTAATAGAAATTTTTATCTAGAGAATGAGAAACCACGAGAGAATAACCTCGAATCTCAAGCAAAAAATTGAAAAAACTTTTCTTTAGAAATATTGGAAGTCAAATGGAAGTCAAGACAATTGGGAAAATCAAAGGAAGACCTTCTCAGCTTTCAAAGGGTTAAAAGTAACTCACTCACAATTTTAACCCTTTAACTCGCAAATTACTCTGTGCATAGAAATCTTAAACATCCAAACTCGACAAAATTGTCTTCTCCCTCCTCAAATAAAAGCCAAAGAAAATCCCTCAGCTTTCAAAGGGTTAAAAGTAACTCACTCAGAATTTTAACCCTTTAACTCGCAAATTACTCTGTACATAGAAATCTTAAATATCCAAACTCGACAAATTGTCTTCTCTCTCCTCAAATAAAAGCCAAAGAAAATCTCTCAGCTTTCAAAGGGTTAAAAGTAACTCACTCACAATTTTAACCCTTTAACTCGCAAATTACTCTGTGCATAGAAATCTTAAACATCCAAACTCGACAAAATTGTCTTCTCCCTCCTCAAATAAAAGCCAAAGAAAATCCCTCAGCTTTCAAAGGGTTAAAAGTAACTCACTCAGAATTTTAACCCTTTAACTCGCAAATTACTCTGTACATAGAAATCTTAAATATCCAAACTCGACAAATTGTCTTCTCTCTCCTCAAATAAAAGCCAAAGAAAATCTCTCAGCTTTCAAAGGGTTAAAAGTAACTCACTCACAATTTTAACCCTTTACCATTCAAATTATTCTGTGCATAGAAATCTTAAATATCCAAACTCGACAAAATTGTTAGACAATTGGGAAAATCAAAGGAAGACCTTCTCAGCTTTCAAAGGGTTAAAAGTAACTCACTCACAATTTTAACCCTTTAACTCGCAAATTACTCTGTGCATAGAAATCTTAAACATCCAAACTCGACAAAATTGTCTTCTCCCTCCTCAAATAAAAGCCCAAGAAAATCTCTCAGCTTTCAAAGGGTTAAAAGTAACTCACTCACAATTTTAACCCTTTAACTCGCAAATTACTCTGTGCATAGAAATCTTAAATATCCAAACTCGACAAAATTGTCTTCTCTCTCCTCAAATAAAAGCCAAAGAAAATCTCTCAGCTTTCAAAGGGTTAAAAGTAGCTCAGTTTCACAATTTTAACCCTTTACCATTCAAATTATTCTGTGCATAGAAATCTTAAATATCCAAACTCGACAAAATTCTCTTCTCCCTCCTCAAATAAAAGCCAAAGAAAATCTCTGAAATTGCAAAGGGTTAAATCATCCGACACACTCCATGAAAACACAACGTGTGTCCCAAAAGTCCCAACTACCACTAAACACCCCTAAACATAATTACTCTCCAAGAAATCGAACAACTTCTAAAAACCCAGTATTTCCTCTTCCAGAAGAGGAGGCACAGAATCGATAATAGACGTTCGATCCTCCGTCGTTGACTCGTGGTGTATTAGCATTGTTTACAGGCGGCCAAGGCAGCCCGAGATCCATCAAGGATGAACACTTAAGCGGAGCCCGTAATCGTAAGGAACGGTCGAGCACGTGGAAAACGCGTCTTATTTAAGCCCGCGCGCGTGCATACGTGATGTGGCCATTAAAGCGGGCTTCTGGCGACGACCTTCTCGCTCCGGAGACGCGCATCGTGCGTGCGCCTTAAAGACCCAGTTAACATTTCAAGCGTTCGCATGGCAATGCGCGCGATCGATCGGCCGCTCGTGAACTGAATTCACTCTTATTTAAAACCGTGAATCACCTCTAATCCTTTCTCCCACTTTGATCGATCACGCGTCTCAATTACGACACAAATTACCTTAGTTTCTTTTTTCCTTCGTTTTTCTATCTGCACGACGCGAGTACCTATGTACCTAGTTGCGTGCGTTTACACGTAGCTACCCATTTGTTCGCGAGAACCTTTTTAATTTTACCGACACGTGTGAATATGGTAATGAGCGTGGCATGGTGCGGAATAATGGAACGAACGGAGGGAAATATTAGATGCTGTCGTCAGCTGTTTCTTCGTGAAAAGCGTGTTTATCGTTTGAGACGTGTTGGAATTGGCTTTTTCGCATAGGTGGAGATGGGAAGATTGAGGTTTGCGAGTTTGCTGGAATTTTACGTGAAATTAGGGCAAGTATATTTGAGGTGAACGGAGTTGGGCGAAAGGACTTGTGATCGCAGACGTTTAGCAATGTGAAACGATTTTTCAATTTTTCTTTCATTTCCTCTGGGAAACTTAAATGTTCCATGGTTGTAACTTATTTATTTACACAGAGTGTTTCACCTAACTTTATCACCTGAAATATCTCTGTTGTGTTTGAAATTTGAAGTGAAACAATTTTCTTAATTTTCCTTCCATTTCCTGTAACTTAGGTGTTCTATAAAGTTTCTGTCTGAAACATTTCGCTTATTGTCAAATTACTGCGAATTACCTACGTGTCGTTGAAAATTTGATACTTTCGTCTGCGTTCAATTTTCCAGAGAAGTCCAGAAAATTAAGGTGAAGTTGGACTTTGAGAATTTTTCAATTTTTCAATATACGAAATACTGTTTCAGTCTAAAAAATTGCAATTGTTGTCAAATTATTACAAATTTGTCACTTTCTTCTGAATTAAATTTTCCAGAAAGTGAACACAATTAGACTCCAGCAATTTTTCAGTTTTCCTTAAATTTTCCATAACTTGAACGTTAATATTGCTTGTCTAAAAAATTGCAATTATTGTCATTCAAAATTTGTCACTTTCTTCTGAATTAGATTCCGAGTTAAACTTGAACAATTTGTCAATTTTCCTCAAATTTTCCATAACTCAGCCGTCCAATGCACAAAATATCGCTTGAGTCGTAAAAAATTGCAATTATTTCAGCGCCGACAAAAACATTGAAATATTTTCCTCCGCGTTCAATTATCCAGAATTCCCAATAATTACGGAAAATATCACGTCTATGTACTTAAAACCATCGTTACACACTGGTTAATTATTCAACATCGTTGGAGAAACGATACACGCCGTGAAAAAAGAGAAAAACTCACCGGAGAAAGAAAGAGAGAGAGGGAGAGAAACCTGGTCGCGTTAAACGCGTCGATTAATTCAAATTCAACGCGAATCGCTGTTCGGTAATCTATTAATAATTGCGGTTATTATTCGATAACATCTGACGGATCATTAACGTCGTTGTTGCGTGAAAAGCTGCTGCACGATGAATAGAAACGTGCGACTCTAATATTCCATAGCATCTGGCCGCGTGAAACGAACAATTCCAGCCGTTCAATAATTGATTAGAACACAAAAGAATAAGTAATCGCTCGAGTTAAACAAACCGCCGGCGTTCTAAATTATCAGATTGTTCCGTCCAGCGATATTTCCAACGCCGTAATTCGTTGATTAATTTTGCACTGCATGCAATTTTGGATTCATTTTTAATATTTTTTTCTTTTTATTTTGGGTGCGATCGAAATTTCATTTAAAAAGAATGAAAGCAAATCGAAAATCCGAATAATTTTCAATATTGTCGATGACCTTTCGCCATTTTTCTTGGCAAAAATCGCTGGGTTTGAGTCAATTATGGGCAATTCGCTAAAATTTCTTTTTGTATATTTTTTAGGTGCAATCAAAATTTGATTTAAAAAATTGAAGGCAAACTGAAATAATTTCCAGTATTTTTGATGACCTTTCGCCACTTTTCTGGGCGAA